TGCTTTATATTTAATTTTTTCAAAAATTTTTTTTTACATAAATTGCAATTTTGACAAAAAAAATCGCATGACTCAAAAACAAAACAAAATTTCGTTCTGAAAATACGATCACATTTTTTATATTATTTTAATTTATATTAATTTTTATTTTCTGGAGGCAAATGATTAAAAATAAAACCACTTGGTTCCATACTTTATATTCACCCTGTATGTACATACATAGTTAAGCGTATTTTTTGTATTAAGTGTTTTGTGACTCTTGTATTAGGAATACACCTATTAGGGTGCAGGACTAAAATTATGTGAAACAGCTTATACACACTAATTTAATGATAAATTGTGTTTATATAATTATTTATTTTATTTGTTTATTTGTATATCTTTAAGCTTGAAGTGTAGCCGAAGGTAGACTTTAACAAGAGTATTATACATTTTAATTAAATCATTATTTACGAATTTGCCTTCCTTCATTTATTTTTTTAAATTTTAGTTATGCCTTTGTTATGCCATAACAAAGGAAATAGAAAAAATATTCTTTAAATTATAAAGATTTTAGATGTTTAGATTTTTTTAGATTCTTATCTGACCATAAAAACGTAATCATAGTTTATATTTGAACTCACTTTACAAGATAAGGATTTCATACTTAATAAGTAATACACATAAACCTAGATTTCAAAGTTTTTATAAGTAAATTATCATCAAGTAAAAAATATTTATTGAACGTAATGACATTGATATACACTCCTTTTGTGTTCTTAACCTAATAATTATTATAATTATTATTATTGTTTACTGCCTATGCTGAAGACGCACACAAACTCCATTATAAGATTTCAAAATAGCAGCTATTCCCAAATCCGGTTTGTAATCGGGCACAGGCAATACTTTGAAGTTTTTCACGATTTTGGCAATGATTGTTTTCATTTCAAGCATTGCGAATTTTTGTCCTAAAACAGAATTAACGTAAGTATAAATTATTCGTAATATGTTAATTAGGTACTATGACACAACAACTTCAATTAATAGTCGTTTTTTAAACAATTAAAAAACAGACGTGGATTTTAATTAATGCAAATGATTGGTACGTAGTGCAACAGAAACTTACCAATACAATTACGTGGGCCTGCACTAAAGGGCACATAAGCATAATTGTGTCTCTGTGCTTGATTTTCAGGCAGATATCTATAAGGATCGAATTTTTCTGGATCAGGAAAATATTTTTCGTTGTGATGCATGCCATATATGAACAGCGACAGAAACGTATCTTTGGGAAAATCATAACCACCTTCAAAATCAATTATTCTACAAACCCGATCTAATTGTGTTCAAACTTCGTTTACCTATGTTACAGTCAACTTCTAACCGACGTTCAATAACCGGTACAGATGGATAAAGTCGTTGGGCTTCTTTCAACACCATTTCCAAATATTTCATTTCTTGCAGATGTTGCATCGTAATATTTTCAATATCGTCGATTACTGATACCACTTCTTCGTAGAGCTTTTCTTGTACTTCGGGATTTTCCGCCAACGAGAGTATGGCGAAGGCAATTCCAGAAGTTGTTGTGTCGTGTCCTTCAAACACGAAAGTGTCGATTTCTTCCCTGATATCTTCATTTGACAACATTTTGTTTTCTTCGGATTCTAGTAACATTTCAAGTAGGGCGACCTTACGTTTAATGCCGTCATCTGGCGTTATATTTTCTGTTTTTTTCTGTGATTTTTTCTCACGACTTGTGACGATAATGTTGATCGTGAATTGGTGCAAAATTGTTAATAATTGTTTATATGCTTTGTGCATACCAGAAAATCTAAATAATGCATCGATTTTCTTCCAAACAGAAAACGTTCGATGGATAAAGATATCAAGGAAACTTCGAACAGCTTCCACGTATTCAGTATTATTTCCCTGTTGAGCTTTAATTTTAACTCCCATCGAGGTTTCTGAAAAGTGGCATTAAACTTTTTCCAAGATTTTTTATTTGCCTAACCACATATTATATCCAAGGAACAGAGATTTATAAAGGGATACACATCCACAGAATTCTTCCCCACTTCCTTGGCCAATCTTTGTACAAGAATATTCCCACAGGAGTTAAAAACGTCGAGGAATTGGTCAAGGATTTTAAAGTGAAACGTCGGCGTTATCAGCTTTCTGCGACTCTTCCATTTTTTTCCTTTGAAAATTATTTAATGTTTACTTTTATCTAGAACAAGTTAAGTACCTGTGCTTATTAATAACCCGATTCCTAGCCATGGTTTAAGTAAGTCGTAAGCATTTGATTTTGTGATATGAACATTTGAACTGAGCACTGATTCCGTTATCTCAGGGTTTGAAATAAGGACCCTTACGTCATTCCCAATAAATACTTTATACACCGTGCCAAATTCTTTTGCCCATTTTACAATGCTATTGAGCAAGTCTGAAAATAAATTTTTGTCTTAATTATTATTATTTAATATATCCAATTAATTATATAAATGTAAAAATCAAGGACGTTGAGTTCTAATTCGGTCAAAACAACAATAGTTTCTAATTGTTGTAAATTACATTTGGACTTACCTTGAGGAGTTTGTCCTATATCAAGAGAATTTCCAATGATAGGTGAAGGTTTCGGACCAGGCACTTTGCTTAAAGACTTATATTTTGTTAAGATAAGCAACCACCACACGAACGGGGCACTTATTAAAGCTATAATTATTGCCCAAATCATTACAAAGAATTGTGATCCACCAGTAAGTCGAGCAGTGTGCAGAAAGTGCAGTTTGATCTTATAGAAGGACACGTGCGCACTAGTATAAATTATGAAAAAGTTGATTTTATAGAGACACTTTATCAATAGATGCGCAGTGCATACGGAAAGCCCGTTTGTTTTCTTTACTTAGGTACTGTGACATTGGATACTACACGCAAGCCATTAAATTACTAGTTTTAAACATTTGTATCATGGTAATGAGCCCTAGATTTGCGACTCATTACGAGTCAGAGGTCAAAGCTGTTATGAACCAGTTGATCAGATAATAGATCTGTAACTTTGTAAACGTACTTGTTTTAACTACGGTTTATCAACTTTGCAACTACAGTGACTAGCACACATATTTGCTAGTCACTACAGTGACTAGCATACATATTTGCGGCAGCCGAATAATATATTAAACACAAATTTAATACAAAATATATTAATAGGTTACACTTACCGGTTCTGATACAATAATAGCTTATTTACCGGACTATTGCATACTTACCGGCTCTGATATCGTAAAATAGCTCACTTCGCTCGCTTCATAAAAACATTAAAATGAGCAAGTTGTTAAAGAGAAAAGTTGTCACTATATATTACTTTTCTATCAGGCTTTTTGCGCATTACTAACACTGAAGACACAAAAATATCATTTCTTTGTGGCTATTTTCAGTGATTTTAATGGTTTAAAAAACTCAAATTTATCAATGGAAAAAATGTTTTCTATCGTCAGAATTTTTCAACGTAGCAGCTGCGTGTGTTGAGGTGAAATTGGTCACAAACATTTGATTTTTGTGAAAAAAAAAACAATCTGTGTTACAATTATTACACACTACTCAAAAATTTTAAAGAAAGAGGTCCACTATTTCATACAGAAATAATAAATTTGCAGTATCGTCGATTACCGATATTACTTCATCGTAAAGCTTTTCTTGTAATTTAGAATTTTCAATCAACGAGAGAATGGTAAAGACAACTCCAGAAGTTATCGTGGCGTGGCCTACGAAAATTCCTATTTCTTCCTCGATGTCTTCATTTGTTAACATTTTGTTATCTTCGCACTCTGATAACATTTCAAGTAGGACAATTTTACGTTTGATGCCGTTTCAGCCATAGCTTTTAACTCGCTTTCGGAAGCAGTAGACCAAAGTTTTTTGTACTTGGGTGACCATGAAGCCAAATTTAACTTCACTTGTTTCAAATAAAAAACAAATTTCAAAAACATCATTATTTATTGGTTTAATAAAAGACATAATATTCGTTAATATATTTTCCCCGAATACTATGTAGAATGTTTCTGATATGTCCTACCATTGCTCAAACAACTTTTTTATACAAAGTGTTTGGTCGCATCGAAGTAATAGGTATCAAAATAAAATACTAACAACTAACATATCATTAAAATTGTTGTTTACTGAAAACACTCACGATTTTATAGAAGTTAAAATAAACAAATAATTATAATGATTATAATTATTATTAACCTGTTTAATTCGTTTCTAAAACTAAAAAAGTAAATCCCATCATTTTATTAAAGTACTAGGGTGAGAAGAGTTAATAGCATTGAAACAGTCACTAAATAAAAAATGCTAAACAGTTAATAATAATTATACAAGGTGTCCCATGAGTAAAAATGAGCCTGAAGCTACATTTTAAACATAACGTGGATATTACAATATTTAGTTTTAATAAATTAAAGATAGTGACCAAACAGCACACTTCAAGTTATACAAGGTGTCCCATGAGTAAAAATGAGCCTGAAGCTACATTTTAAACATAACGTGGATATTACAATATTTAGTTTTAATAAATTAAAGATAGTGACCAAACAGCACACTTCAAGTTTAATTTATAATAAGCCAAACCTTGGAGAATTTTGTGAGAATTATTAAAATGTTGCCGAAAAGACCAACAAGATTCTCATTTATGAAGAATGTTTCAAAAATGCTTCGCTGACTGCACGTTTCTATCCAGCGCGATATCCAAATAGACGGACTTTTCTAAAGTCATTTTGACTGATAGAAATTTGTCAAAAATAAAAATACGATTACTACATTTAACTAATTAAAACAAAATATATTAATTTCCACTTGTATGTAGTGTTAGTAGCTTCAAAAAAAATCAGGCTCATTATTACTCGCGGGACACCCTGTATACTAAGGGACAGAATTTTTTTATAGCCAAGCTGAATTACGAAAAAAAAATTAAAAGTAATGATAATTAATTAAAAATTAATGAAAGCGGGTCTTCCGTGGTTTATACAGAGTGTTCCATTTTTATTGTTACAAATTTAAACAGGTGGTAGAATATTCAATTTTAAGACAAAAACACCCCCTGAAAATTATGTATAACTACGGTTGTCTATATTAACCATGCCACCATTGCCAGTTGTTTTTATTATATATTACAAAATTAGGAAAAAAATCTGTTATTGCTTTATTGGAATTTATCGTCATGATTTTGTAATTTTAAATACTATTGAATTAAAGTTGAATGTGAACAATACGAGTAATAAATTTAATAGTCCAGGAGCTAGTGAATTTTTTTGGAACTAATTTTACCAGTCAACAAACTATTGTTGTTGTTAGTGATTTTAACTAAAAAATGTTATATCAGACATAGCGATTTATCGATGGATTGTCTCAGAAGATGTCTTAGAAAAAACATATTCGATCCACTTTTTTTCAGTAAAGTAAATGGTTGTACCTTGGATTATATCTACTAAACTAACGTTAAGTAAAAAAAGGCAGACTTATACGCATGGCAAATATTATTATTTATTATTGTTCTTATTGTGGTTGTACTGAAAATATGAAATTTATTTAATTTGAGACTCCTTAAACTTATCGGAAAATTTTTACCAGACTTAAGATTACCTTCACTAACTGAATAATCCTATCAATTTATGATGACTGGGAAAATCACTTCCAAACAAAATCACTAGTCCTGTAGTATGACCAATGCAATTTATAATTTTTAGATTTAATGAAGCGGTACAAATAGAGAATCTAGCATAATTATGGTACTACAGTTTTTTAAAACGTAAAAACAACTTTTATCATAGTTTCTAATAAATCTTCAAGTGTGCTTGAGTTTTAGAGATAATTTACCGTAAGTTTTACTCCGCTAATTAAGGCAACTCGACTCAAAACAACTAAAACAAGTCTCGCTCCTGTCTTATTATTACCCAAGAAAAAATTAAATTTAGCGCACTTCTTCATTCACATTGCACAGACCTCCGAGTCAATGTCCTAATCCCACTTCTAACGCTATTCTCCTACTTCACAAATGCACATATCTACCTATTTATAACTCTGAAATTGTACATTTTCACTTAAAAGATGCCTTCTTTGACCTATTAGACACATAAAAACAGTAAAAATATGACTAAACCAAAGTTGGAAGATACGATTTCGTGATAAAACCGGAACCTATGTTTGAGTTGATGAGCGAAGATGCTTATTCAAAAAATGACAGAGACGGCTTTACTAAATTTAAATATGGAGTCAGTTGTTTCTAACAGGAGGTAACCGATATTACATTCGAATACAAGTAGATACTATACTGTGGACTGTGGTTGTGGATGGTCTGGTAATCTCCGGCGCTGCTAATTACTTAGGGGCAGACAGTTAAGTGAAAAAGAATTAACATTATTATGTTTCTACGGAAATAAACAGGAAAGCAGGTATTTTTAGTGCCTGCTGCTTACAAGAGTGTAAACGAAATAAAGATCTTGTCGATTGTTGTTACGGTTAGTACGGTAACAGTGTGTTGGCGCATAAATATAGCAGCAATTATTGTTTTGTGTTTCCAAAAAGTGTTGTAGATGATGATTATTTTAGTCCGTTTATATCGTATTCCAAAGATCATCTGGTACCGGTACCTGTGTACACGTGGCATGGGAAAGTGAGTAAAAGTTCGCCAATTACAAAAGAAATTACTATTTTCTATTTGTCGTTTATTGTATTAGTCACTCGAGAAATTAATTCTAGTTAACTGTCTGTTGTCATACATTTTTATTTGTTTATATTTTTTAATTAGAATGCATTGACAGTTTTATTTAAAAGTTTTATGATAATTGCTTTTAATTAAAGGAAATTTTTACTCGAAAATAGCAGAACATTATAAAACGCAAGTCACAAAATAATGGCTAATAACTACACGTGACAAATCATGGCAGGATAAAATTAAACAGAGAAGTGTACTTTGCGGAAATTTATTTATTTATTTTGTTCTTAGTTAAATGTTTTAATAAATGTGGACGGTTTTCTATTATTCTGTTACTGAAAACTTGATCTTATAACTAACTTAAATAAATTGTATTTGCAATTTGCAAATGTATTTGGATATTACTTTTACAAAAAATAAATCAATTTAACTGCTACTACAACATAAATAAAATTGTTTAATGCTTTATCGGCTATTGCTTTAAATTTTCAGCATTTTCATTAATAACAGGGCATATGTTTTTGCATAATTTATTGCACTTAGTCATCTGGTTACCACACTAAATAATTAAATGTCGCGATAATTATTTTACTGAATTTTGATGTAAATGAATCTACATTAAAGGTCGTGATTCCGAAATTTTTCTACATATCTGGCTTTTGAGTAATATTGTTAAGAAAAATTACTAAAACTATACATAAAACATACATACATATAAAGAAAGTATGATTTAAATTATTGCCATTTATTTTCTTGGTCAAAGTCTTACCACCTGCAGCATAAGTATGAATCGGCTATTCCAAACATTAATTTAATTTTTATGGGTACTGATAACTGAATAATCATGAAACCACGTTATACCTACATCAGTTCATAGTCGACAGATTTTCATTCATTTTTGTTATGTTTTTCGTTACAGGACCAGTTGAGGTTCCAACTTTGACGAAGTGTTTTTCCAAAGAAGACTGGGTACTTTTAGATGCAATGGGTTCTAGTCCTTCTCTAGGCTGCTCTGGAAGATTTCTCACAATGCACAAAAGACGACGCAAAAAACTTACTACTCGATCTTTATCACAAGATCACGCAATACTTGATGACATTCATCACGGACTAGTTCAGGTTAGTAAAAAGTGAGGATTTTTAGGTAATTTATTTAAATAAACAAATTATGTTATTATAATTGCGATCATCGAATGTAAAAGAAACGC